TATATATATATGCGTCGCGTACTCATATCAATTGGTCAGACATCTACTCGTCAGCTGTAAGTCCCCTCTAGTTTGGGGTTCGATTCCTCCGAAGTGTAGAGTGTGATACTCTAATTATAGACGCATGAGAGATGGTCTGGGCTCCTATCATAGCCTCCGACCATTCCTTATATATATATATATATATGGTCAGCTGTAAGTCCCCTCTAGTTTGGGGTTTGATAGGCGCGCGACAAAGTCTTGACAGAAACTCAAATAGAGGGAGATCAAAATCAAAGTCTGGTCAACAGATAACATGTTGGAATTGTGGTAAAGCTGGACACATAAGGAGGAACTGCAAGAATCTCAAGAATATGGAGAATGATAACGTAAATGTGATATCTGAAAAAGTACAGGATGCACTATTGCTGACAGTTCATAGTTCTGTTGATGATGGAAGTGAAGAGGAAAGTGGATCTGGGGCACCCATTCCTATTGTTTCTTAGGCAGATGTTGGAGAACGAAAGAGCTATGAAGAAATCTTGCAAGATGAATGTTCGAGCAAGTGGGAGCTGACAGAACTTCCACCAGGGAAGAAAGCATTACACAACAAGTGGGTGTACCGGGTGAAGACTGAGCATGATGACAGTAAGAGGTACAAAGCTAGACTTGTTGAAAAAGACTTTCAATAGAGGCAAGATATTGCCCATGCAGTGGGAGTTGTAAATAGTGACAAGAGTAATTCAGGAAAAAGCTTGAAGGTGTACAAGTATTTAGACCCTGCTGATATGTTGACTGAGGGTGTTACTCTTGATAAACTGAAGTTGTGCACAGCTTCAGTTGGTCTTCTCGAGTGAAGGCAGAGCTTTGATTTGCAGAGGTGGAGGATTCATGGTGGATTTATGTTTGTAGGAAAGGGCGATGCCGCCAATGGAAGATGCCAGTTTGAGGAAGGAGATGTTGTTACAGGTGCATTGGTCTCCAAGTGGGAGATTGTTAGCACTGGACGCTCCCGCTCCGCTCCCGATCTCGAACTCCCGCTCCTCTGTCATGAATCGTCGCGACAACTCCCGCGACCATGCGGTTATGCGAATCGCTTCCGCCTTCTTCTGTTGTGAAGCGAAGCATCCTTTCACTCCCTCTTGTTCGTGATAAAAGTTATCACACGGCTCTCCTTCAATTTTAGAAGTCACGGTGTTCTTCGATTTTTCTCGGGCTAGAGAAAGGCTTCCTCAGGATAGAAGGAAGGAAAGTGCAAAAGGTAGTTCCTTGCAGTGAAGGAAGAAGAAGTAGTTCTGTTGATGATGGAAGTGAAGAGGAAAGTGGATCTGGGGCACCCATTCCTATTGCACAGAACTATAAAGAAATCTTGCAAGATGAAAGTTCGAGCAAGTGAGAGCTTGCAGAACTTCCACCAATGAAGAAGATATTGCACAACAAGTGGGTGTACCAGGTGAAGACTGAGCTTGATGTCAGTAAGAGGTACAAAGCTAGACTTGTTGAAAAAGGCTTTCAACAGAGGTAATTTCAATAGAGGCAAGATATTGCCCATGCAGTGGGAGTTGTAAATAGTGACAAGAGTAATTCAGGAAAAAGCTTGAAGGTGTACAAGTATTTAGACCCTGCTGATATGTTGACTGAGGGTGTTACTCTTGATAAACTGAAGTTGTGCACAGCTTCAGTTGGTCTTCTCGAGTGAAGGCAGAGCTTTGATTTGCAGAGGTGGAGGATTCATGGTGGATTTATGTTTGTAGGAAAGGGCGATGCCGCCAATGGAAGATGCCAGTTTGAGGAAGGAGATGTTGTTACAGGTGCATTGGTCTCCAAGTGGGAGATTGTTAGCACTGGAGACCGCGTCGCGAATCGGTGTTTCTCGCTCCCGATCTCGAACTCCCGCTCCTCTGTCATGAATCGTCGCGACAACTCCCGCGACCATGCGGTTATGCGAATCGCTTCCGCCTTCTTCTGTTGTGAAGCGAAGCATCCTTTCACTCCCTCTTGTTCGTGATAAAAGTTATCACACGGCTCTCCTTCAATTTTAGAAGTCACGGTGTTCTTCGATTTTTCTCGGGCTAGAGAAAGGCTTCCTCAGGATAGAAGGAAGGAAAGTGCAAGAGGTAGTTCCTTGCAGTGAAGGAAGAAGAAGGAAGAAGAAGATTGTTTTGTGCAACAGATAACATATTCATTTTGAGTTTCATTGCATTTTTATCGAAATACACAATTGCTGACCTCATTTTTTATCGTTTCTCTCCTATTTGGCTCTTGGCCACTTCCTTATAGGCATAAATTCACTTTTTAGTGCTCTTAGGTAGTTGGTCGGTTATGGTTTAACAAGTGGATTCTATTTCGTGACTTAGTCCATACCCTGTAGTCCTAAGTGAACTCCGCTAAACCTTAGCTTACTATGTAGTTAGGAGACTAGTGGTAAACTCATTTTGGAACTTCGCAAAACCCAAGCTTAGCTTGGGTTTGATTTAAATCTAGTGCAGTTGAGGTTTGTGGGTGCTTGTTTGGCTAGAACTATATTTAAGATTGAATTTAAAATTAAAAAATAAATAAACTTAAACCTAAACTAAACTAAAAATTAAATCAAATTAAGAATTTTAAAAAATTAATCCTAAAGCAAAATTAAGCTAATTAAATTTGAGTCAAAATTGAAACCTAATCTAACCCAAAAAAAATAGAATTGTAACAGTTTGGCCTATAGCCTAACTGAATCCTAAAGCCTCGAATCAAACTAAACAACAATTTAGGTTTAGGTGGAACTATCTTAACTCCAACTACTTTAAACAAAAATCTAATTTAATCAAACCTAAATAAAATTAAATATGATGCTTAATCATATCAAACTTAATAAATCAATACCAAACTTAAACCGACATAAACTAAAGCTACATTAAAATAGATCTTAAGCTTAATTATCTTAAGCTTAATTAAAATCAAGCTAAACCAAAACTAAACTAATCCTAAGTGAAGCTAACAAAACAGCCTAGCTAATCTAAATTTGAACCAACTAAATCAAACCCATATATACATAATCTGAAGTAAACCTTGGTACAAAACCTCAAAGCTAAACTTAACTCAAAATGACATTAACTTAATAAACCTAAGTACAACAACTGAAAGCTAAACTTAACTCAAAATGAAGTAAACTTAATGTCGAGATAACTTAAACATAAACATAACAACAAACCTAGTTTAAATCTTAGAAAAAAACTAACAATAGTGATAATTAATCCAAAGATAAGCTAAACCTAAATGTTATTAGATTCAATACAAACTATCTTTGACTCAAGTTTAAAGCCAACCCAAATGAGATTGAGCTTATTTCCAACTTGAACCAAAACATGGTTGATACCCACATAAACTCTAATTTAACCAAATTGATACCCCCACATAAAAGCTTCAAACATTACCTTATAATTTGTGGTTAGTTAGAAAGGTATCAAAATTGATGAAACCTTAATTAAACCTTAACTAATCACCAAACCATCCACAAATATCCCAATTTCTTCCCAGGTTCATTTTTTACATTAAGAATTTTCTTAAAATTATTAGGTATTGGATTAGGGTTCTCTTAATCAAAAGCTCAATTTAATCTAAATTAAATAATTTAATATATATATATATATATAAAAGGTTAAGTTAGGTTTAAGTGAGAATTGTTGAGTACAAAATGATTCATGAAGTAAGGAGAAAATTCTAATAAATATATGCATGTTGCAATTTAGAAAAAAAAAAAGAGAAATTAAATTGATTATTTAAGTTTTAGATTTAAAAATGATAAATATATGCATGTATGGCGTGTAAGGCATGTCTTACCTCCAAGCCTCCAACATTAAATCTCTTAAATCATGATATAATCAATGTATTATTAGGCAAATTTTATGTAATCAAATCTAAATCAACCACAATATATTGAGCTATTTGAATCAATGCTTTGGGCTATTTTTGGAGCGCTATAGTATGGCCAAATTTAAAAAGTAATAGGAGAGATTTTATCCTCTTTTATTCCCCTTGCAACTCATGCAAATAATAGCCATGTTTTTCTCAAAATAATTGCCTCAATTCTAGGAAGCCTCAACTTCATTCATTGCTAAATTTTCAAGGTTTAATTTTATTAGAGTAAACAAAAATTCAAGTAAAATTTATATTTCACATTTACTCATTTAATTTTGTATTTTAAAATTTTCTTTTTATTTCACAAAATATTATTATTAAATCTTCTAAAATCTAAATGTATTTTACTCAATAGTATTTTTTATTTGTTGGATCGATGTTCAAAGAATATATATCTTCTTTCTTTGAAGCAAATTTATGCTGATATTAAATTCTGCTATTATAAAATTTTATATTTTCTATTTTTTAAAAACTTGAATCATTTAAAAAAAATCAATTCAAATTATTTTTCATGCGCGTTGGAAAATTTGTGGTGGTAGAATGACTGATTAATGTCTTAGCGTTGTACGAGAATTTAACACACACACAGATGAAAGAGAAACAAGTAGTGATGATTCCAGAAATTTTTACGTGGAAAACTCGTAAAGGATAGAAGGAAGGAAAGTG